ATCTCGCGCACCTGCTTTTGGAGCGCAGCGCGCTGAGCGCGGCCCCGCGCGACGCCGCCGCGCGCGGCGACGCGGCGCCATCAAGTCTTGAGCCCGACGGTTACATATGGCGCATGCTAACGACCCGGGCCGCTGTACAACGCGTCTCCATTTTACGGCGGTCGATGCGACATGCCCCAAACTGGTCCGTAGCTCTGGTCGCACGGTCAATCACTGCGCGCCGATTGCTGAACGCGCTGAGGCGCCGCGGGCAGCGGCTCGCAACTGCAAATTGCGCCGCCGGCGGTCAGACATTATGCGTATCCCGTCTGCGCCCTACCAGTGCATGGGCCGTCGCAAATCTCTCGCCGCGCGCGTGGCGGCCCCCCTCCTCCCCCATGCGCATGCGATCGCACAAGTAAGGTTTGTTGACGATTTCTTGCAACTCCCCCCTCCGACCCCACCCCCTCCTTGCTGATGTAGCTGCGCTGCGCAATGTGGCAGGGTCCGCACTTGTCCAGCGTTCGCACTCCTGTCCCAAGCGCCAGTGGGCTGATGACTGACTTGCGAGTGGCGCACTAAGCCCTCGAGTCTTCGCTCGCCGCAGCCAAGGTATCCAAGTCGCCCGCGGGGCAGATGCGCCAGTGACCCACCCATCCCTCACTCTGCACTGCCCCCCATACTATCCAGCAGTGACGCTTCGAATACTGCTGCTACAATTGCTCCGCGATCCCCTGGACATTTGGCCCATCAAAGATGCCGCCGAATCCCCTTCGCCCTCAGTGCGATTGCGCAGCGCTCCATCTTCCATTCTCTACATACTCGATCTGCGCTGGGACATCTGACGCCCCCGCCTGCCATTGCCCAGCTCACGCCCCCCCCCCCCCCCCCCCCCCCCCCCTGCAAGAGCTCAAACACTTTGCCAGGATTGCGCCCAGTGCGTCAGCGCATCTCTTCGGCACCGCGAACGCTGTCAGTCCACTCGGAGCAGCTCCAGCCACAATTGCCGTAGACATGAGTCGCTGCATTGCCCGTGGGTTCCTTCTGCCCCATGTCTCCGTGCTAATGTTTGCCGCCCCCCCCCCCCCCTTCTCTCGCCTCCAACGACATATTCGCCTGGCATGCGTGGCCCTCGTGCCCTCGTATCTCGCATGGTCGCGCCCACTTTGGCGCAGTGCCCTGCCGATTCCAGATCCCCCCCCCTTCTTGGCGGGCCGAAGCATCAATTCCTCCTCTTGATTAGTGTTCCCCCAACCGTGTCGCCACGCCGTGAATATGCGCGGCACTTTCCTCTGCCGCTTTTTCCTGGCGGAAGCAGATGCGCCCTATCAGCGTCGCCCATGAGTGCGTTGATGGCCAGGTCGCGCTTTTCCCCCGTCACTGGATTTGCAATGTCGCGCAGAATCTGCGATCTATCCAGCGCTCTGCCCTCTTGGTGCCGTCGGCCCGCGTACATGCTGTAGCAGTCGTCACATTGTCCTGGAGCAAGCGCGAGTCCCATCTGCGCTCCGCTGGTAGCGCGCGCGCCCATGGTCTGCGACGCTGTCTCGATAGTCGAGCAAGCGTCGTTGATCGCTGCCAACGCAAAGGGTCGACCCTCATCCGCACCCTTCTGCCATGCTACTGCCTGCAATAGGGTCCTGCGCGCGCTCGCAAATGCGCATGTGCAATCGTAGTTCGAGCGCGCTGTGCTATATCCTAGCTCCCCTGCTCCCCACGGCGCGGCCTGCACCTGCGCGCCATCGCTCCCTGCGCCCATGGTGGGCGGAAGATCGGCTGGCCTCTCTTAGACAGTCCCGAGAGCCAGCCCATGCCAGATCAAACGCACGTGCGCATGATGCCTTTTCCTGCGATGCCTGCGTTGTCGTTGTTCTCGTCTGCATCGAGCGCCATGCAACGGTACCAGTCCAGCGGGGTGGTCTGCGTCGTTCAACACAAGCACAGCAGGTCGTCCACCACAGCCTGCAACCCATACTGTCTACTGTCCCCTGTGATGGTCGCTGTTCCCAGACCTGCTTGCTCTGCTCTCCCAACGTAGTGGGGGCGGCACTGTAGTTGGTTCTAGCCCCGCACCGTCCAGCTGCTCTCCCGTCGCCCATCCGATTTGTTGTAGCGTGTCCCGTTCTTGAGTTTGAATAGTGCTGCGTCTGTGTGTATGTGTGTGTGTGTTTGTGTGTGTATGTGTGTGTGTTTTTCGGCCCTGGCTGTCGCTTGCTCTGCTATTCGACCACTTGATTGGGTCGGGCTCCCCAGGCGCGCCCTGGGCTCAGGGGGCATCCAGTTGCATTCAATCGACGACCCCCAGGCGGGCCAGGCTCGAAGCAGCTTTAATTTGTTCTGCAGCAGCTCTTGACAGCATCCTTGTCCTTGTCTAACAGCGCGTCGAATGCCCCTGTCAAGTGGCTGCGGCAGCCGTTCCTCTCATATTTTCTTGCTCCTCCAATGTCGCAGGCGCGTCCATCGGCACCCCCCCCAGTCCCCCCCTCGCGCGGGTGGCTTCCGGTCTCCCCCAACCAGCGTTCGGCCGATCAGTGGGCTTTGGGGGAATAGTCGCACCTCTTCTCGGGACCTCTGCCATTCATAGCGCGGGCGATCCTAAACCGATGCATCTCTGCGAAATTCGGCTGCTCGAAGGCTTCCCAAAACTGTTCTGCAATGTGCACCGTTCGTTTCTTGATATGTTCCTCTCCCTAAGCCTCTTGCGTAGGGCCGTCACCAATGTTAGCTTTTCCTGCACCCGATCGAGTTCCTGCTTAGCGATCGTGTCTCCCCGGTGCAGACGCAGCTCCGTTCATTCAACCAGCAGCTCCATTCTCTTGGACCGAACCATCTGACCACCCTCGTCAAACATGGCAGGAAGGTATCCGAACGATCTTATGATCGCAGCCCTCGTGGCCTCTTCATAGAGCATCCAAGATAGGTCGGGAAAGGAATGCTGCCGCGCTGCCTCCCAGTCGTCCTGTCCGGTCCAGTCCATCTCTGCCTCCAAATTCTGAAAGAACTCCAGTCTCCCCTTCCCTCTCCGCAAACAGTTCATCAGCGCGTCTCCACAGGGCCCTTATCAGCGCGACGTCTGGCACGCATGGGAAGGGCCTGGGAGAGGGAGAGGGGGGGGTGAGAGACGCAGGCAGGTGATCTCTGTGCCATTTGATCTTGCTGAGCTGCACTCTCCTGGCAGAGTATCGGAGGGTCTAGCAGCGATCGGCCAGCTATATGGCACCTGTGGGGATGAGGAAGTGATCGATGCGGTTTTCTTTCCCCTGCGGTCCGTAGCACGTCGCACCAACGCCGGTAAAAGGTAGTAGCAACGCACATTTCGTTTCGCTCGCCGGATGATCTGATTTCTCGACCGTTCTCATTATGTATTTACGGTGCGACCGAACCAATATGCCTACCTGCACTAGGCTACATTATCCAGTCTGTGTCTCTGTGCAGTCCGAAGTCTGTCTTCATGTCCACTGCTATTACGGAACACAATATACACCTCCTGAATATGAGCCTAATTCCTGCCGCCTTTCCCTGCATGCTGCTAGGAGGATACATAATGCTGTGTAGGGGCTCCTGGGGTATTCTTTTCGTTACCGTTATAGATACTCCACATGCTTAAACAATACACCTGCCCTTTTCCTCCAACACGTAAGGTCCAGTGGTGTGGTAGGTCGCTTCTCATGCACGGCTCATCTCCCGCCCATTTGTGTGTCCCACTTCAAATCACGATGTCCCAGTCCCTGAATACTACTCTGATGTCCTCCACTCTTTCACTGCCACTTGCTGCGTATGAAGGCGTTGCAAATACCATGGCGCAGCTGCGGGCTCGGCCATCCCCCGTGGCCTTCTGAATCAAACTTTCTGGGGGGGCTCTGGGGTCGGCAGTGCGCTCCGCGCACTTGGCTCGGTCGGAAAAAACTCCGAGCTTCTCACGCCGACTACGGGAGGAGGAGGAGGAGGAGGAGGAGGAGGAGAGCCGTCTGTTTCCTCGGGGGTGGGCGTCTGGGAGGCAAAAGCCGAGAAGGAAAGCCTCCAGCAGGAGAGGGATCACAACCCCAGGACCACCCCCAGGAACCCGCTCTGGGACCGGCCCCAATTACCTATCCAAGCATACGCCGCCCTGGGACCGGCCGGCGAGACCGGCCCCTGTTTACCTCCCCGCGAATGCGGAAAGCTTTCTGTAGTGCCAGCGCCGGCGATCTGCATGGTCGCAGAGACGCCAGTGAGTTCCCGTCATACATACTGACGTGCTTCATCGAATCGAAAACTGTCGCAACGTCCTGGGCGGCGCAATGGAGAGGAACACCCCACGCGTCGGAAAGGTAGAACAATTGTTGAATCAATCCTGATCCGTGCTCGAGTCTGCAACCCTTCTCAAACCCGAACGTCTGGACGCTGCTCGGGCGTGGTTGGTTCAGTACGGACGGTCGCATGGATCTCATATACCACCTCTGCAACACGCTTGTAGTTGCCAAACCTTTGCTTCGTGTACTATTGGCCCTATAGCCCCTGTATTATTTTCTTGCTAGCGAGCGGCGAAATTGTGCGTTTTCAAATTCACCTTCGCGTGCGATTGAAATCCTATGATTCGTAAACGATTCTCTGTGGTTCCTCGGGACGATTTCTATCAAATTCCTATTCAAGTCCATGTTGCTTTTCATTGAATGTGCAAACACTTCCCATGGTACCAGATTTTTGGATTCGTACTCAATTTGCATGACCGCCCAAACAATCCCGAACCCGAACCTGAACCCTTAGCCTTACCCATCCAGTCTTAGTAGACACGAAGGTAAGGTGTGACTCTAGTAGTGATAGGAATGGCAGTGGTGGTAGAAGTCATAGAAGTAGTTGGCATCGTAATCGTAACAGTAGTGGCAGCAGTGAACGTCTGAGCAAGTCGTGGTGACACTGATGCGGCAGTCGAAGAAGCAACTGCAACCGCACGACCAGAAACGGAAGCACTGACGACAGCCGGCGGCTCGTGGAGTTCGCCCTGCGGCGGCCACGGGAAGCGTTCGGGCTGAGCTGGCGGCAGATACTGAGACCGTGGGCGTCGGGGGGACAGTCGCCGCCGCGAGGGAGGGCACCAGCGGCGGAAACATGGCGGGGGCTGGCGGCTGCACTGCGGATGGGGGGGCTGGGGGTTGGTGCGGGGACGGCATTAATCATTCAAAGGGGGACAGGGACAAGAGTGGATGGGATGGGGGGCCAGGCGCGGGGAGGGAGGGAACAGGGGGGAGGGGAAGAGGAGGGGAGGGGTAGGAAGGCAGAAGGTCAAGAGGGAATGGGGAGGGCACAGTGGCAAGTGGCAAGTGGAGAGGGGAGGGCCATGGATAATGGGGGAGAGCGCCAGGGGACTGGAGGGGAAGGGAAAGGAACACGAGGGGTGGGATGGACGGATAGCTGGGGGGGTCAAGGGAAACGGAGGGGGAGATGAGAGGAGGAGGGATGCGGGACGTTCCCATAATCGCCTAAAACACAATCCCTCAAAGCCATATGCAACAATCATCCTCCTGCTGACATTCTGCTTCCCTCTGCCACAGCTCCTGCAACTTCTCAACGCAACTGGCCTCAACTCAGGCCGCACCGAATACGGCGTTGTTTGGGGGGAGGGGGGGAAGGCGATGGGACAGTCCCATAACCGCCTAAAACACAATCCCCCCAAAAGCCTGATGACATAATCACACTCCTGCTGGCAATGTACTGCCCCTTCACCCCAGCTGCCGCATCTCCTTCTACTCCTCTTCCCAACTCGAGTTGCTCCGAAAGCGGCGTCGCTGGTGCAGACGTGCGCGATGGCCCCCCAAATATGTAGTCGACCAGTGGCGCGCGCCCTGCGCACGGGCCAAGTTCCTGGAAGGCTGGGCCCATCCCCCCATCCCTCCCTTTTCTTCTGCACGCAGCCTCGGAAGGATGGTCACTGACAGCCTCCTCCCAGAGCGCAAAAAAGCGGCCACAGCCTCGAGCCTCGCCCCCCCTTCCTGCTCGCAGGAACCAGCGCTGGGCCACCTCAGGCCCCCCGCGGGTTCCAGCCCCTAGCGTTCTGCCTTGCCCCTCTTGAGCAAGAGCCGACCGTCCTGACGTATCCATGATACCGCCCAGAACTATTCAGAGAACAAAAACCGTTCTAAGAGCATACAAGCCATGTTCTTAGCACATTGTGTGTATCAGGCACAAACTGGCCTGATTGGCGAACGATGTGACGTTCGCAGAACTACGGCGCAGCCCAGACAAACGAGCACGCCGCGCAAAGCACCCCGCCATGGTGCGCACCCAAATCGCCGCAGCGCCCCCCGCGCTGAGCGGCGGAGCCCTGAGCCCAGTCTGCTGCGGCGCCTCCCTGGGGCTCTCCAAAGCTTCCATGACGGCCCGGAAGGCCCCCAAGACGGTCAAAGAGGTCCCCGAGTCGCCGAAAGATCGATCGAAGACGCCCAAGATGGCCTCAAGATGGCCCAAGAGGCCTCCGAGTCGCCCCAAGAGGCCTCCAAGAGGCCTCCCAAGAGGGCACCAAGAGGCAAGCATCAAAATTACGGTGTCCATTGGTGTTTCAAGAATTTGGGCGTTCTCACCTTTTCGGCTTTCCGACGCTCCAAGACGGCCCAGGGGGCTTCAAAACCACCTCAAAACGACCCATGAGGCCTCCAAGAGGGCCCCAAGACGGCCCAAGAGGCGCCCAAGACGGCCCACGACGGCCCCAAGCCGGCCCCAAAAGGGCCCCAGGCCCAAGAGAGGGAACATGAACCGAACATCCGAGACTTCCACCCCAAGAGGCCCCTGGGAGGTCCCAAGAGGCGCCCAAAAGACTCCAAGAGGTGCCCAAGTGGCCCCCAAGAGGTGCCCAAGTGGCCCCAAGAGGCTCAAAAGAGGCCCCTAGAGGCCCCCAAAGGGCCCCCAAGAGGCTTCAAAACTGCCTCCAAGAGGCCCCCGAGAGGCCTTCCACGAGATCCCAGCGAACATCCAATAGGCTTCACATCCACAACCCAGGCACGGTTCGACCGCAAAACCATCGAAACTCTAGAAACCCAGGGCACCCTGGAGGCAAGCAGGGTGTTTCTTGGCTGGCATGGGTTTCCACTGGGCGTTGACGAACGTTGAATGCTGATGGCCCGAGGGATCCTCGTCGCCTGGGTTTCGTGTCATACCTCGGGTCTCCGGCCGCTGTTGGGGACGATGAGGGCGCCCCCTTCGAACGCTCTCGGCGAGGCGAGGCTGCTGGAAGCCCTCGCGAGGCCAGGGAACCTCCGAGATCCGACGAGAACCCCCGAAGACCTCGGAAAAGCGTCGATGACCCCGACATCGGCGGCGCGCGCTGGGGGGTGACGCGAGGGGGGGGGGAGGGCGGCCTTCTGAGGAGGCGGCGGGGCCTCTGAGAAGGCACGAGCCTTCTGAGGAGCGCCCACCTGCTTCTGAGAAGGCTTCTCAGAAGCCGCGGGGGCTGCCAAGAAGCAGCCTGCCTTCTCAGCAGCCTTCCCCCGCCTTCTGAGAAGGCCGCCCCCCCCGGCGCCGCCACCGACGAACCCAGACATCCGTCCGCTCCAACTTTTTCGATGCGCGGGCCCCCGGATGTCTGGACAACTTCCCAGGCCCTCTTTTGTTCGTCCCGAATTGCTTGTTGACGGTCCCGGGGCCTGGCGAGGGTCCCTGTAGGCCGAAAACAGCAAAAAGCCGGACCGCTCAATTTCTTTCTGAAGCCTCGGATCTCTGGGTTCTGCGCGTCAGCGTCGCCGACGGATCTCCACCCTCCCCAGATCAGTGGATACCAGGTTTTTTCGGTCGCGATCGGTAGCGACCGATCTGCACTCCAAATCGGTCGCGACCGATCGCGACCGATTCCAGAATCGGTCGCAACTGATCGCGCCCATCGGTCTCGACCGCTTTCGAAGCAAATCGGTCGCGAACGATTCCACGATTTGAAGCAACATCGGTGACGAACAATGTCGTCGGTCTCGACCGACAAATTCCAGTACAGTCGGACCTAGGCCAGAAGCACATCCTTCAAGAACCTTGAGACCCTCCGTCGGCCAAAGCAAGGAGAACATCCAAGGGTATCCTCCCCAGGGTGCAGAATAACATCCAACAAACACCGAGAACACGAGGGCGCCCTCCCCGAACCGACCTCGATCTTATGCCTCGATCCGCATGCATCCAGTCCGCCCAGGGTATCGTCCGCCCAGTCGATCTTTCACCTGGGTCTCGTCCGCCCAAGGAGAGCACGGCCCGCCTGGCATGCCCGCCGCCGAGAGGGCGCCAGGGTCGCAGGCGCCGCAGGCGCCGCCCTGCGCCTGCAGCATCTGCGCGAACATCGAGGCGAAGGCCACCTCTGGTGGGGTGCGGGCGGGGGGACTCCTGCTCGTCGTCGTCCGCGTCGTCGCCCTCCTCTTCCTGCTTCTCATCCCAAGGCATCCTGCGTCTCGAGCAAAGCGAGACGTCGGTGTCTCATTCCTCGTTTTCGACCTCTCGGGGCCCGTTATGGGCCTCGGGCCGTCAACAACTGCTCCGGATAAGAAAAAACGGTACTGGGGAAGTGGTCGAAAGGTCGAGGGCCAGCGTCTCGAACAGATCGAGACGCTGGAGTACGGGTCCGCGGCCCTCCTCCTGTCCTCCTTCCTCTTCCCTCCTCCTGCTCCCCCCTCCCGCTTCCTTCACCACCTCCTCCTCCTCCTACTCCTCTTCCTCCTCATCCTCCTTCTCCAGTTCGGATGAAGATCGAAGCTCGAAGTCGGGCAAAACGACAACATTCAACGTCGTCGCCGTCGTCGTCCTATACTCCTTCTCCTCCTCCTCCTCTTCCTCCTCCTCCTCATTATCCTCCTTCTGCTCTTCCTCGTCCAAGCCCCTCCTGTACTCCCTTTTCCTGTCCTCCCTCCTCATCCCTCCTCCTCTTCCTCCTCCTCCTCCTGCTCCCCAGGGAGGAGGGGGAGGCGGACGGGGGACGGGGATGAGGAGCGGAATGGAATGGGGCGGAACGATGCGCACGGGGAGGGGGCAATGAGGGGAGGCCAGGGGAGGGGCTAGGGGAGTCGGCTTGGAGAGAAGCGCTCGTGCGGCCACACCAGCCCGCCCACGATGTGGCACCGATCGGCGACGGCCAGTCCAGGCTCATGTTGTTCCCATCGTACTTACGGACCACGTCTCACAAATGATTTCGAGCACCCCGAAAAGTATCGAAGCAGTGTCTGTCCGACACGCTGGCTAAGTGTCGAACAAGAATTGCCTCCAAGGGCCGGACACCAGAAAAGCCACCCAATTCGGGATATCCCTGGTGCTCAAAACTCTTTCTGGTCACCAGAGACAAACTATTGGAACATCATCAGCCCAGGCGAGGAGAACCCGGCCCCGAGTGTCGCGGCCCGGTTCTCGCAAGGCACAGCGCGGACCAAGCAGGACCCGACGGGTATACACGGCAGGCTCACGACGCGGTGACGTGGGCGTTGGCTTCGGAACCCGAGTGAATCGTCCAACGTTAATTGGCGGCGTGCAAAAGGGGGTGGGGGGAGGGGGGAAGGCTTCTTAGAAGGAGCCTGCTTCTTAGAAGGCGCCGGCCCTACATTTGTAGGGAAGGCCTGCGACTTCTAAGAAGCAGGGATGCTTCTAAGAAGCCTTGACCCTTCCCCTGCCCCCCGCTGCGTGTGGCCGACTGAAACGATCGCCGCATTCCGAATAGCCAGAACGTTCAACACTGGCCGGAGTCAAACAGCTGATGGCCTTCCAACTCTGAGCGCCCGCGTGGGAGTCGCCGCCGAGTCGACGCGGAGGAGGACGAGGAGGAAGAAGGACGCGGGGGCGCATTGTTCGTGGCTCCTCCTCGTTCTCGCCCTCCTCCACATCGTCAGCAATCATGACCCGAGCCCCCCCGTCCTGCTGCGACGTTTCGCGAGCCAGATCGATCTTCGAGAGCCCCGGGGCCCGAATCCAGACGACCACGGCCGGCGCGAAACGATGGCGACGCCAGGACCTCCGGGAACCTCCGAACCTCGGGCCGGCCCGACGCCGCGGCCTTCGCACGGCGTGGACCTCCAGAGGCCTGGCCCTCTTGCCGGGGCCCGGCTTCTCATCCCGAGCCGTCTTCTGGCGGCCCAGAGGGACCTGCCCGACTGAATCCAAGACCCTCCGGTCGCGGTTTCCCCGTAGCGCTAGGAGGCCTCCGAACCCGGAGGACTCCAAACGGAGTCCCGGCAGCGAGATGGTGTCGGAAGATCGCGCCGCAGCGCCAACGCATCGCCGATGCATCAGCGATGCATCGGCACCGTCGGCGTGGAGAACATCGAGCTCCACATCGAGCCGCGGCGATGCGGCGCGTGGAGAACATCGGACTCCACATCGAGACGCGGCGATGCGGCGCGTGGAGAACGGAAGTCCGACCCTTTCCCCAGGACCCGCTTTTCATCCCGAGTCGTTCTTTGACGGTCCCGAGGCCCGGCGAAGGCCCCCCGAGACCGAAGAATGCCAAAAGCCTTCGTCGCGGTCTTTCCGACGCGAGCATCTCTGGGAAGACCACCAGGAGCCGACGCGGCGACCCCGTCCACCTCGACCCCACTTGGGAGGCCTCAAGGCCTCCATCCCGAGGCTCACACCGAGGGTCGATAAAAACCTCGGCGGGCCTCTCTCGTTCTGTGTCACGTAGGCTCTCCGCCGAGTGCCGCAGGATCGTGATCGTTGTGATCGCTGTGATCGTTGTCGCTCTGATCGTTGTCGTTCCTCGCCGTCGTCATCGTCATCGTCAAACGCTTATCTTCCCATCGCTATCGCTCATCGTTGTGATCGCTGTGATCGTTATCGCTGTTGTCGTCGCGATCGCTCTCATCGTTCCAGTGGACCCCCGCTTTGGGAGGCCTGGGGACCTCCATCCCTGTCGGAGGCCCGCGCCCTTGCTCCAGATCCGAGCGATTGGGGACAATGCCAACAGGGGGGGGGGGGGCGGTGGGAGGCGCAACAGCTCGCCCGCGGGGAGCTATTGCAGAGGGCTTCAAACTATTGCGTTGAGACTGCACGGTCGCATCCACGCGCAACTGCTGTGTCCGGACCGCAGACCGCAGCACTCGTGCAAAAACTACTGCATGCACGATTGCTCCTACGCCAGCCCCCCCATCTGTGCTACCTCCGCGACTCCGGCTCAGGCTCGCGCACACAAGAAATAAGGGGCAAAGATAGGGGGGGACTGGTATAGGGGGGAATATCGACTTGGAATCTGCGATACATCGCGGATAGATCGGCGATAGGCCCCCGATAGCAAATCCCCACGTTCCTGGACGGGGTGAGGCGATCGAACCCGCTTCGGCGATGAGTGAACGATTCGATGTCGATACATCCTCCCCCATTCGGGGATCTATTTACCCGGGTCAATCCAAATCTGGGCCAGTCAGGCCTTGCAGGATCCTGCATGATTTCTCAGGATCCTGACGGATCCTGCACCCAAACTCGCGTCAATGCGACCCTGGCTCTGCAGGATCCTGCAAGATCCCGCGCTCTGACTGACCCCCATTTGAGCCCCCCCTATGCCTATCCCCCCCTGTCGTTGACCCCCCCCCACCCACTGAGGAGGAGGGAAGAGGGTTTCCGCTCTTGCCCTTAGCAGCAAGAAAGAGGACCAACAACCGCTCGACTCTTGAAGCAGGAAGGCGCCTGAAGTAGATTGAGATCTGGGAATCCATCAATACCTACTTTCAACGACCAGCGTGTACGCCTATCCCCCCCTGTCGTTGCCCCTGGCAGTGGCCGGGCGCCTGGTCGAGATCGAAGGGGCTGTAGCCTGGCGCCATGCCCGGCGCGCCGATACCTGGCAGGGAGCCGCCGGCCGGCGAGGTCATCACCTCGGCACGCGCGGGCCGCGGCGGCCCCTGGCCCTCCTCGAGGAGCACAGAGGGGTACAGACCTCCTCGTGCCGCTCTGGCGTTCTTGCGTGGGGGGGGGCGAGAAATCTACGCCACGAACACACACCCTCAGACGAACTGTGAGTGTACCTTCAGGGAGGGTGGCGGTGTACAGTCGCTGGCTCTCAAAGGTGACACTTATACACCGCCGCCCTCCCCTGATGGCCAGGAACAATACATTATCTCTTCTGTGGTGGAACGGTGGTGTGGGATAATCGTGCACCTTTCGTGCCACTTTTGGGCCCCAGGTGGCCCCTGTAGTTTAGGATGCGAGAGGTGCATCTTCCTTCACCCCCCATTGATCGCCCATTTCCTCGTGTCGGGGGAGAAACGTGCGCCTTTCAGGCCCCAAGGGGTCCCGTTAGGGCACGAAGGGCGCACCGTTCTTCACTTCTCCCCTATGGACTATCCCCTATGAAGCAACGCCCGAGTCGCGAAGCGAACCCAAACATTTCGCGTCTCGATGAAATCGAGAGGGAGGACCGTCAAGAAACCTCTCGGGGAGAAAAACTGGTCACAAAAGGAGATGGCCGGGAGGTTGGGGGCCCGTGTCTCGACGGAGAGGAGACGCCAGATGTCTGGGAACTGGGACGGACGGTTGTGAGGTGATTCTCGGCCGCTCGGGGCTCTCGTCGGGTTTCGGGACCGTCGAGACATTGCTCGGGAGGAGGAGCCGGTTCACGGGACGGGGTCCAGACCTCTGAAGGTCCACGCTACGAAAAAAAACACGACGTCGGGGGTTCTGGTAATCGAGGTGTCGAGGGATCGGGAGGAGTCGGAATATCGCGCCGCATCGCCGATCTGGCTTTGCACTGGTGATGTATCGTCGATGTCCGTCAGCGACGCCGACATGGAAAAAATCGGGATCCACATCGAGCCGCATGGCCGATGCATCGGCGATGCGGCGCGATCTTCTGACCCCTATCTACTCGGACCCCATTTCGGAGGCCTGGAATCGAGGGACCGAGGGCTCGACGAGAATCGAGGAAGGAAACCTCGCGGCGGCAAACTGTCCCCAGATCTCCGACGATGTGCTTGTTTCAATCCTGGCGTTTGTCCCTCTGTCCACCGCGAGTTCCAGCCGATCCACTCGTCACTCTGTCCACCGCGGGCTTCAGGAAGGAAGCACGGAGCGCTGCGAATCCACCACGAGCACGTACCACCACCCTTGGGGGGGCCAGGGGTGCGCCGAAGTGAGGCAACAGCTGTCCAGCCACACGCGCAGGCCACCACCTGCCAGATGGCGGAAGCTGTGCGCAACACAGGAAAGGGAGGGGCGCAGAGCACGTGGCGCCGCGGCCCACAGCTTGGCCCCACGCACGCACACGGGAATCCTCCTTCATGTCCGCCCCTGGGGGCCATGTAGTCGGGACCCGGGGGGCATCGAACATGGATCCGGGGGGAAAGCTGTCCCCAGCCTGGGGCCCCCAAGGAAGGAGCCAGGAGCTCGAGCCGCGAACCGAGAAACTCGTACATCGGGAGATGCCGGGCGATCAAAGATCGAGGCATCACGGCAAGACCCATCTCGCGTCGTGAAACCATGCAACGGACAATTTTGGGCGGTCTGGAACTTCTCGGGGCCCTCGCTGGGCGCGAACGTCGAAAAACGACTCGGGTTGAAAAACCGGTCGCGGGGAAAGGGAGTCTACGCCGCGCAACAATCACGACGTCGGGGTCGGGGGATCAAGGGATCGGCGAGGATCGAGGATCGGTGATGGAAGCTTCGCGGCGGCAACAAACTGTCTGACGTTCTTTGGCCTCTGGAGGCCGTTTACAGTCCCCCGGGTGAGGGGCAATGGTCGGGGGGACTTGCATAGGGGGAACATCGGCCTGGAAACAGCGACACATCGCCGATGGATCGGCGATATGCCCCCGAAAGCAACTCCGAACGTTCCTCGGCTGGGCTGGGTTATCAGACCCCTATCGGCGATCAATGGGCGATCGGGGGTCGATGTCTCCCTCCCTATGCCTATCCCAACCTATCGTTGCCCGTGACTGGGACCGTCAGAAAACGACTTAGGAGGAGAGGTCAGTTCTGACAGGGGATATGCAGGCGTTGGGAGGTTTTCGACTGGACCAACCGTTCTTGGCCCAACCTGGGATATACGATGGGGGGCGTCCCTCCTCGATAGGGGTGCATTCGAGTAGCCGCCTTGGGGTGTATCCGAGGGATTCCCCCTTCTTCTGAGCGGCCGGACTTTTCGGGCGGAACTCTGGGACTTGGGAAGAAAAACCGCCTTCGAGCTGCGAGATCCCCACAGGTTGACGTCTCGAGCAGAACTTCTTCGTCGGAGGAGGGACGCTGTGGCCGGGTGCTGCCAGGATGAGTGGCCCTGGCCCAAGGCAGCCCCCGCTGCTCCACGGAGGCCCTCGCGGCCTCCCCGAAAAGTCGAACAATCGCGCGAAAAGCTGGGGGCACCTCGGGCGTTTTTGTTAAAGGGAAGCGCATGCGAGTAACCTTCGTCCGATGCTTCTGTGCAGTGCCATCTCGGCTGAAGAGCACCTGGAGGGCGAAAACTTCCTGCGTTTGGCATACAAATCACATCATCATCATCATCATCATCATCATCATCATCATCATCATCATCATCATCAACATCATCATCATCATCATCATCATCATCATCATGATCATCATCATCATCATCATCATCATCATCATCATCATCATCATCATCGTCATCGTCATCGTCATCGTCATCGTCATCGTCATCGTCATCGTCATCATCATCATCATCATCATCATCATCATCATCATCATCATCATCATCATCATCGGTGTAATAGGGCTTGATTGTCCTTTCGATGGGGAGTCGGGCCACGTGTGGAAACCTCGGGCCTCGCTCGTCGCCACGGCTGGATCCGCCCCGGAGTTGCTCGCCAGAACGCAGCATAGGATCGAGGTCAGACCTGGGGGGCGGGAACAAATCGCGACGGCAAGATTCTTGTTTGGGCAGCCGGGGGTTGTTTGCCATCGGCACGGCGTGAAACACCGATCGCCAAGGAAAAGGGGCAGATCTTTGGAGGGTTCACGGTGCGAAACACATGCAGTCGGAGGTCGGGGGACGACCATCGAATTATGTTTAACAATATCTGGCCTTTGTCGGGCCACCCGAAACCTCTGAAGGACACTCCGAAACATCCGGGCAGCTTTTGGGGGACCCTCCAAAGTCTGGGGAGGATGAGCAGGAGCAAAGAAAAGGGAAGACGTGCGGAAGTAGGCGGGATGCGGCGAGGAACGAAGATAGAAAGAGAGAGAGAGAGAGAGGACAGAGAGAAAGAGAGAGAAAGCGAGAAAGGATGGACGAGTGGGGATGGGGCCATGGGTCAAGAAAGAAGGAGGGAGGAGGGGATATGATGAAGGGTGGACGCAGAGGGAGGGAGGGAGGGAGGGCGGCACAGAGGAGTTGAGAGGAGGAGGAGAAGTGGGAAGGGGGAGAGGGAGGAGGGGGACGAGGAGGGGGAGGAGGAGACAGAGGAGGAGGAGGATTCGGATTCGGAACGCTTGCGTAGCAATCTCGCCGAAGAACACTTGGGACGTAGCCCTCGCTCGAATTGCGCAAGGTACTCCCTCCTCTTCTTGGGAACCTGGAGGGGTTTGCAGGGACTCGCGAGGTTCCGAAGCAGTTCGCTCCCGAAAAAACCACAAGACTTACACATCCACTCTCGGGGTTTATCATGCTAGATCACGCGGTGAGAACAGTGCACCCAACAACCTGCAACAGTTACCCCCGCACGAGGCTGAAATATATCCCCAGACGCTCAAACAAGACGGGCGCACTCCGAGCCTAACCAAGCGTCGCGCCGAGCCTTGATGCTCCAGCTCCTGCAGGCCACGCAGCTCAGCCCGCCCTCGGAGACCACGTGCTCCGATGCGAGGAGGGAGGGCGAGGGTGGCGGCGGCGGCGGGCGGAGGGGGAGGGGGCGGAGGAGGGGGATGATGGGATACGCTGGAGACGGCAGCGGCAACTTCGGCCTCGGACCTCCGTTTTTTTCAGCCTGCTTGAGCTTCCTCTTTGCGATGGTGGCCTCGAGCGTAGACCTCAAAATACGTTTCCTTGCCAGAGCTGCGCTCCGTTCCCAAGTGGCAAGCCTGAAGCGAGCATCCTCAGAAACACGAACCTGCCAACTCATCAGCAACCGCATTTCCTGAGCACATCCAGCTTCGAATTCGTCGCACAACAGCCTCGGACGGAGAGAGGTGAGACGGTACCCGTAGTACTGTGATATGTTCAGGTGACCTATATTGCAGAAGCCTGCCGATATCCCTCCAGCCTGACGAAAATGCTCCGCGCGGTCTCCTCCACCTCCCCCCCCCCCGCCACCCGCGAACGACCTCATCGTTGTCCGAATCGAGAGTCACGTGGCCAGTGGTGAAGCGAAGACCTAACTCGAGAGCCTGCACTTCTCCTCGGGCGACAGTCTGGGGCGGTCCTACCAGGGGCCCTGAGATAGCACTAGCGATGTTGAAAGGGCCGAGCGAGCCGATGTTGACGACGGCCAAACCCACCATCCGAAGGCGCAAATCACTGGAGCTCTTGCCTCCTGAAGCGCCCCCGCACAGGATGACTGGTTGCGCGGCAGCGCCATGCCCGGGAAAACATGGGGCGAGGCCATTGTTGAGGCCCGTGATGACCCACTGCTCGCTGGCTGCAGGTGCCCCCACCTGCATCTTGCATCCCGGGGTCAACCCACGATGGCAAACATCTGCTTCAATTTCGCTGTGCTGAATAACTTCCACGGTGGGCCGATCTGAATCAACATGCACTTGATGTCTTGTGTTACGAGATCATGTCCACTGTCTGTGAAGGGAAGTCCCTGGCTCAACCTGGCAGCGTGGGCAAACATTCCCCGGCGAAGGTCCCGCCGAGTGCTTGCAGGTCTCCAACCGCGCGCCTTCAGCAGCAACGCGAAGGAGAAGCTCGGCGAATTGCCCCCCG